TTTTGTTTACGTTGAGGTTCTACTGCAGAACCATTCGCGGTAAACGGAAGTGTACTGACACATCGAATAATTTCGTTTGTCTTCGGTGCCACTCGGGTAATCACGTGATACGCCTGACAGTTGAAATCGTAGACTTTATGACTTTGTAGATTTCTGCAAGTTGTTATAAGTAAATATGTTTCAAATTACGTTGTGTTTGATCTTATTTTAATTAGGAAAATGTCACGAATATGTTGGGAATGATTGTATAAAAAAGGGTCTGAAAATAAACAAGTTAGCAACGCACTGGCATTGCAAACAATACAACCGGCTTTTAACCTTTATGGACTAGTGGGCGTTTATTCCTTTTTCACTCGTTATCCTCCTTTACGATTGAAATTTATCGTTAATTAATCAGTAAATATTGTCTAAAATATATCTCTTGGTCTCATTTTCTCAGAAAAGTTTGAAAAATTTATTGGTAAATGTTTGGCAGCGGAAAAATGAAACGTAGCAAAGTTGTATATTTGCATTGGTATTGTCTCATGTATATAACTAAAACCAGATCACGTTACATTTCGCGGCAAACAAAGGCGTCTTATATCGTGTAGATCATTATTGCTTATATCAAGAATCTGCTGTACCCCTATTACGAAACGTATCTACATTCGTATTTATAAATCTTGATACAAATTAAGTAGTGGAGGATATACCTAGGGATATTTTAATTTTCGTAAAATCATAACTTGAAATTTGTATTTTTAACAATTTTCCAATATCTAAATTTGATCGAATTTGGAGGTTTATCCAAATCGCTTAATTACAGTAGCAGCTTGTATTATCAGACTATCGAAGCGTACAAAGTTCGTCGGTGTGGTATTCGAAAATTATCTTTAATATAGTCAGAGGACGTGGAAATTTAATTGGCCGCCACCAATATTGCCGCAGCTACCGCCGCAACTATGGCCACTCCCTGGATCGTTGTGATCGACGCTACCACCATCGCAACCGCATTCTAACGGATCCCTCTACTGCTACTGTATTTGCAACTATTTAATTTTATTTCACACAAGAAAACGGCATAATGTATTGCTGGTTAAAATTCGCTTCATATATATACACTACATTGCACAATTAAAATTGACTTCGCTATATTAGCTGCAACGAATGCACTTCACTTTTACCTATCTTACTGTTGCGGATAACATCGTTTCCGTTTTTAGTACCTCGTAATAGCACAAAGGAAGCAATGTAAGGACATTCGTAATTTTTAGATACAATGAATTATTATTCTTATTTATAATTTGTAGGTTGCACAAAAATATAAATTTTCTTTTAAAAGATTCATTTAGTAATTGATTACAGCAGGAATTACTCTTAATAATTAATTAAGAAGTTTTTATATTTCCAGCAAGATTTCCAATTAAATTTGTATCAGCTTTATTATAGTCTAACAATGATGGCCTTTAATTTTGCAAATATCGAACATTTTTTACTGTACAAATTCTGTATATTAGTATCACTCATACATTTTTATTATTTTATATCCGATGATTTATTATTTTAAAATTTCATTAAATAACATTTTGTTTAAGAAAGAAATATGATTATGTGCACAATTTAGTGGGATTTAGAATTAACCCTTAAGTGCATAATTTACTTAATTGAGAAAATAGAGGAATGACATCTAAGGATCTTTATTGTAGAAGTAAAAACAAGTATTTTAATCCAAACATATAATCGGAAAGTCATAATAGAAAGCAAAATTTCCAACCTTTCACTTAGACCTCACGCAGTCTATCCCTGTCATAAATCGTTCAAAGGTAAAATAGCACAGGCTAATTACCCTTGACGACCCTCTAAAATACGTTGACGCTAACATATGCGTACAATAAGATACTAAATATTAGAAACATGAATGCATAGATGAGGTCCATTGAGGACCCACTTACCTAATTCCGTGCTAACTTTGATTAAAGCAACAATTTATATCTGTAAACACATTGAACATAACATAAATATAGACAGAAGCAAATAGCTGAACTTTCAATTCACAAATGGCGCGGCTAAAAATGTTTACACAAAAAATGCAACACTGGGGTCCTTCGCGGACTCCACTCATGCATTTAAGGGTTAAAGGAGTCGATACTGGGCCTACTCACGATGGGTATGCGCATTTGTAAATCATATTGAGGCTGGATCTGCGCAGATCGTAAAGCGCATGCGCAGGTCGTACGGAAACTACGTCTGCGCAGATGAATGATTAAATCTGACAGATACAAAAGTGACATAAACACTGTGATAGCGTAACATACCAAAATATCATTTATTAACTAATTATAGAAAATATTGTTAATAATCACTTGCTATTGCATTATGACTAATTAATTCAAAAATTTTGGTTTTCATGTTGCTAACAAGGTTTCAATGAAATTTTTGTTAATAATAATTTTTAATTCAGCTTTTAATTCTTAAATTGTGGCATACTTTTATTTCCTGTCTGAATGCGGTTCACTAGTATTCCCTATACATTTTCAATAATATTTACGTTCAAAATATCGGCAATTACATTTAAATATAGAGATTCTTAAACCGTGTTGTGTATTTGCATTGTTGCGAATGGAAGTATTATCTTGTTGCAATGTTAATTTCATCGTTTTCTTGAAGATACGGTAGCAAATGTAATTACAAAATTCCCTGACGTTTTTTACTATTTTGTCTTCCATTTGGAAGTTTCTAAGCTACAGTGAAAACCTCTTCATAGTATTATATTATCTATGGCAAAATTATGCATTGAATACGTGTTTCTCTTTCTTGAATATCGGCAGGTATTAAAATGGTAGGTTCTCTCTAAATTGAATTGTTTCTTGTAGCAAGTAATCTGAAAAATTGTTAATTCAAATTGAGATTATATTTTTTGGGATGCATAATTTTAACGAAGATAATGTAATATTATTGTGAGTTTTTAGTGCATTCTAGAAAAGTATGGAGAAATACGAGAGGGGGATCTTTCAGGGCGAGATTCTAGAAGTATAGTGATTTAGGGAAATAGGGATTTTGGAGTATAGGGATTATCGAGATATAAAATTTAGGAATATTTTGCCAGAGTTGATTTCAATATTTCTTTATTTAAAATTGTGTAACTGTATACAAAGAAATGTATATTACTCAGATAATTATTTATTAATTTGTAATGTAAGAAAGACTATTATAATAATGTTGCAAAGTAAAGTATAAAATAAGATATGTATATATTGTATATATCAAAAATATATGTTGTATGTTGCATTTTAAAGCCAGTATAATTAAGGGTTAAATAGTTTGATATTGTCAAGCCTTCATTTATTGCTGATGTTGTTGAGCCTGCATTTATTAATTATCGCAATTATTAAGAAATTAATGTTAGTATGAATAATAGTAGTCAGATTGGTACGAATTAATCTGAAAAATTTGTCGCTCGAAAATTGCAGAATTTAAAAATTGTTATATACTGAAATTTCAAATTTGAAAGTTTTTAAATCCCTAAATTTTCATATTTACAAATTTTTAATTTTTCAATTTTCTAAAAACCAAATTTCAAGATTCAAAGTTTGTAAATCATATTTACAAATTTTTAAATTCCAAAAGCCTGTAATTTTTAAATTCTCATATTTCTATATTTTCAAATTTTTAGATCGAAAAATTTCGAAATTTTTAAACTTCCAAATTACAAAATTCTGAAAATCTCACATTTTCAAATTTTTAAATTTCCACGTTTCCGAAGGTCCAAATTTTCATACAAATTTCCAAATATTTAATATTCCAAATACCAAGATTTTGAAGTTTACAAATTACCAATTTAAGAAACCCATTAATTTTCAAGTACTAAAGTTCCTTAATTTCCAAAATTTCACATTTCTACATTCTGAAAGTTCTAATCCCCAGTTTCAACGAATCGTCAAATGTTGGAATCCCAAAATTTTTAAATTCTCAAATTCTCAAATTCACTTTTCGGGAATCCCAAATCTCAAAATCTCTAAATTTTTAAATTCTCAAATTCAAAATTTTCACTTTTCCAAAAATCAAAATCGCAAAATTCGTAAAAACCCAAATTTGAAAATTCCTGAATTCCGCACTCGAAAAAAGTATGCTCTATCAACCCTAATGATATTTAGCTTTTGCATGTTAGACATCTTCGCCAAATACACGATACTTATTGACAGAGCAACATTACTAGGAAAATAGACTAAATAAATATAGCGAAATAGAATATAGATTTGCAAAATGTCCCGTTTATTTACCACCAAAGTTTTCTAAAATCTTCCATACATAAAAATAAGAAAAAGATGTTATACTAACATATTAGATTGTTAATGTTTATATATAATGTATAACATTATATTTATATAAATTATACTATATTATAATATAATATATATAATATAAATTATATTTATATAATGTTATTTATACATAATATTTATATATAATATAAACATTGTAAATTTAAATACAATGTAAACATTATATATTTATATTAGCAGGTTATTAAAAAGTTATAACAAAAGTTATAAAATTTTACCAGCATATTCTATGAATAAAATTGATAAAAAATGTTATGTAAGTATTGGCTGTCAAATGTTTCTTGAATTTCATTTTTGTTAATAACATTTAATAATGCATTGAAAGGGCTATGTTCGTATAAACATTTTTTCTTATTTTTATTTATAAAATCTGCAAGTAAAGTTATAGGAACAAAACACCCTATACGCGACATCGATTAAAATAATCCATTTCGTATTTTTGTTAGAACCTTTTAATAAAACGTGTAGCAAACCTATGTCGATATAATAATGTTTTTTATTTTTACGAATAGAATATGTTGATTAAGTTTGGTGGTAAAATTCTGGGACAAACTATATTGTTAGAGACAGAAAATAGAGAGATATGTTAGAGAGATATTGTTAGTGTCGTAATTATGATTCGTAATTTGAAAAACTCTTCTGCCCGTTGGAGTAACTCGTGATGGCGTGCTGTTCTAGGCGCTGGCGTCAAGATGGAGCACTTTCAGGCCGCCCTGGACCCAAGGAAGCAGGAGTTATTGGAGGCTCGCTTTTTCGGAGCAAGGGTGAGCTAGCACATCTTCACATGTGTAGTTTTCCTTTCTTTCTTTCTTCTATTTTATTTCGTTCCGTTTCTCTCGGTTCTCACTTCCATTCGCATTACGTGATTTCTGTTCTATCACCTCTCGAAAATGAAAATTTCAACTCGATTAGTTTAGGCGAAGATTAATGTAACAGGTTATGGTGTTTAGGATAGTGTGAAAACAGTCGAATTCAAAAGACGTATTTAAAGTATACAGAAATATAGCACACCTGCTGTGAGATTATTTTATGCTGCAAAATTTAAAAAATATGTAAAAGTATCTAAAAATGTGTACTGACACGTCGGGTAATTTCGTTTGTCTTCGGTGCCACTCGGATAATCACGTGATACGTCTGACAGTCGAAATCGTAGACTTTATGACTTTGTAGATTTCTGCAAGTTGTTATAAGTAAATATGTTTCAAATTACGTTGTGTTTGATCTTATTTTAATCAGGAAAATGTCACGAATATGTTGGGAATGGTTGTATAGAAAAAGGACTGAAAATAAACAAGTTAACAGCGCACTGGCATTGTAAACAATACAGCAGGCTTTTAACCTTTATCGACTGGTAGCGTTTATTCCTTTTTCACTCGTTATCCTCCTTTACGATCGAAATTAATAGTTAATTAAACCAGTAAATATTGCCTAAAATATATCGTTTGGTCCCATTTTCTCAGAAAAGTTTGTAAAATCTATTGATAAATGATTGGCAACGGAAAAATGAAACATAACAAAGTTGTATATCTGTATTGGCATTGTCTTATGTGTATAACTAAAACGAGATCACGTTACATTTCACGGCGAACGAGCCGAAGGTGCCTTATATCGTGTAGATCATTATTGTTTATATCAAAACTTTGCTGTACTCATATTACGAAACGTATCTACTTTCGAATTTATAATGAAACAAATAAAGTAGTGGACAATGCTATACCTAGGGATATTTCTTTAACTTTCGTAAGATAATAATTTGAAATTTGTAATTTTAATAATTTTCAAATCTTTAAATTTGAGATTTTGAAAATTTCCAGCGTCATAAATTCCCAAATTCAAATATTTCTAATTTTATAAGCTTATTTAGGAAATTTGTTGCAACGCGTTTTATCGGCATCGATTTATTTCGTGGAAAGTTTTGTTCTTATTTTTTTTAAGGAATCATCCCAATATTGGAGAAAAATGTTGAATCTATTCGAAATTTTCCTCCGTAGTTATAATAAACAAGAATTTGAATTTTTTTTTGTTTTATTAGGGTACCTTATAAATCTATAAAATAGTCATTACAATTTGTTTTTGTTTCTTTTTTCAGTACAATATTCCGAGGTAAAGTTGCCATCTCTGAAAAGTCATCCCTCGCTGGCGCAGGTGATTCCAACTCGTAAATTCATCTGGTATAATAAAATAAAAAAGATTATTAATCAGTATGAATGTCGCTATCGTCGGTACTAGATTTAAACGCGTAAGATCGACAAAATGGCGCGCGTTGTTATCGCCCATTTTCATGGTTTCTTCATAATAAGACATATTTCAAAATTTCGAAATAAAAATGTAAATCTGTTACCGACGAGAGCCAACGATATGTAAAATAACGTGATCAAATTTCAGACTAATCAGCTGGTTAGCTTTTCTGTTTTTCCCTGCGCCAGCTGCAAAACGTTTCGTGAAAAATGCGTTCAAAGTTTTAGGTATTAAATTTTCGTACGTTTAGGAGAAAATGTTGTACCAAGGGATAATGTTATTTTCTTAAATTATAAATAACAAAGGAGACTTTTGCCTTTGTTTAATGATTAGTAGCTTTGCAATAGGAACATCTAGTCAACTATAATTGCAAATGGCCGCCACGTCAGTTACGTGAATTCCTTTGTGGTTTCTTTGCTTAGGAGTAGATTTTTTTGTCGACTTTTACAAAGAAAGTTACAATTCTTATGAGAACTATAGACTGTGTAAACATATATACACACACATATATATTTTCTGCATAAAATTTATTTGTGGAAGTATTGTGCAGAAGTTATTTTTTAATTTTTTGTTTTTTATTAAGCAAACTTTTTTCTACAAAATATACTTGGTAATAATAGTGACTGTTAAGGAATTTATTGTCTTTAGTTACTGCTATATTAGCTAAAAGTATTATAACTTAATTAACTCCTAATTTTTGTATCGTTTTTCTGTCTGCTTAACAAATACAATTCCTTCTGAATTATTTCATCGATTCTCGTTTAGTTTATAGCGATACTGATTATTAATTAATGAACATATTGTATTTCATATTTATTAGTAACAATTATATATTCAAGCATTTTGGTAGCCAATGAATATCACTTTCCAGCCACATAAGTATTGATCCCTGGGTACAGCATAGTCATGTGCCAAGCGACACTTGCAGGCATGAAAAAAATCAGCGAAAAATGACCTTCAAAAACTATTTAAAACTATACTAAATATGCTGATGCAATTCTAACAAAACACACTTTTAAATTACTTTTAATTTAGAATTAATTTTAATAACATTCTTACAAAAATTAAGCGCGAGTGTTATTAACCACACTGTAAAATGCGCGCGAAAATTGAAATAAAATTTGCAAAATTTGAATCAAAATTTTTTATTCGGTAAAAAATGTTTAAAGATTTTGAATTCGGTTATGTCGAAATAAGATTAGCGTCCTAAGTAGAGTTATGAAACTTCTATTTAAAAGTTATTATTATAAAACGCTAAAATAAAAGTATAATAATATATCTGTTACTGTTTGCATTGGTAATCTTAATTAACCTAATGTGCCGTTGAAATCTTTATGACATTATGTAGGATGCTGATGCTCATAATATGTTAAAAATTTAGAGACCTAACGTAAACCCAACATAACCTGAAACTACTTTAACTTAACCCAAAATTAAATTTACCTAACCGCAACGTAACATAAAAGAAGCTTAAACTAGCCCAATACTAGTATAAATAACCCTATCCTAACCTTAACGTCTTTTAAGAAAGATGTAATCAAAAATTACCCTAGCCTAACATATCAAATTTAATTCCGATCTATTCACAAACTAGCTATATTTAATGTAATTCTAATCAAGAAACAACTTAGTCTGAAGTAATCTAACCTTAACCTAACCTTAAGCAATGTAAATCAAATTCAATCTAAAACTAGTCCAACCTAACTTTAAATTACTTTAACTTAATTATAACCTAACCCGGAACTATCCTAATGTAATCGAATTCTAACCTAACCTAACTAGAGCTAAATCTAACTCGAAAGTAATCCATTCTAATCTGAAACTATCCTAATGTAATCGAACTCTAACCTAACCTAATCAGAACTAAATCTTACCCCGAAGTAATCCATTATAATCTAATCTTAACCTGACTCTAGCGCAATGTAAACCAAATCTAACCTAAAACTAGTTCATACTAACTCTGAATTACTCTAATTTAATTATAACCTAACCCGAAACTATCCTAACGTAATCGAATTCTAACCTAACCTAATCAGAACTAAATCTAACCCCGAAGTAATCCATTGTAGTCTAACTCTATCCTAACCGCAGTCTAACTCTGCCTTAACCTTAATCGATAACAATAACCGTATGCTAATCTAACTCTTAACCTAACCTTCGGTTTAAATCTTCATACCATTACTTAGGCTGATAACTTTGACAATATATTAAAAAATGTTTGATCTATCGCGATCCTAATCTAAGCTAATTTGATCTAACCTATATTATCGATTAACCTAACCTCTCAGCTAAAATTGATGTAGCACTGTACGTAGGATAATTATAATAACTCTCATAACGAAAGTTCCATGATTTTACTGGAGTATATTATACAGTGGTCTTTTCTTACAAACGGAAGCATTTATAAGAAAATAAAATATTTCAGAATATCAAAAATTAAATATTTCAGAAAGTTATATATTTCAAGATCAGTATAGACTATATTTTTTATGCCAAAATATGCAAACGTATTGAATTCTGGATAAAAATAAATAAACCTAAATTAACTTTAAGTTTAACCGTAAATAATTTTGCTTCATTGTTTGATCTTGAAATCTTTAAAAATACCTTCATCTATAGTAGAACTATATGCATCACAATGCGTCTCTCTGAATCGTGCAACTTTAACATAAAAAACTTTTATCGACGTATACTTTACGAGTTATTAATGTGTGCATATTGAGTGAATCACCATATATAAAAATATAAACCCAACTCGTACACAAATTTATCAACCATACAATAGTTGCAACAGAAAAATTTTATCACTAACTCAACACGCTAAAAAAGCGCCGTTACTGCGCGTTTCTCGCGAAAAGTTTCGCGAAGCGTCACGACTTAACCCTTTGCACTTCTTAATTTCTTTTACCCGCCAACTCTTTAATTCACAAAATAGATGAAGAGAGAATCAAATGTATTACATTTCAATCAAATGTATTACAACCACGTGAATATGCGACAAATACGTTTTTCATTTATTATAAGTAGTAAATAAATGAAAGTATATATATTGAACCAATTTATTTATCTGAATTATTTATAAGATTCAACAGAAATATAATGTCGAGCCACACTCTACATAGGAGTGCAAAGTGTTAATACATACACATATAATCAGTCTCTTTAACACACTGACTGCCACACTGAAACAATTGAAAATTGCATCAAGTAGTGTTTTAATCTTTAATCAATTTTACCAAATATTTTCACAATATCTTATTACATTTATTTTTCATAAATTCATATAATTAATGCGAGAATTTTGTATGAGGAAAGTGAACAAATTTTGAATAATATGTTGAGTCAGTTTAGCAAATGTCACCTATATACGAATGACGAAGTAGTCGACGTATTAAAAACGTTTGTTATTCCTCTGTGGCGTAGGAAAAGAATATCAATCTCAAAACCTTTTTCGCACAAAAAAATGTAACTTGATATACTTTAAAGTGAAAAAACATAGGGGTGTCTTATAGTAAACCGTTCTGAA